CTCCCAAGTAGCTGGGACCACAGGCGCCCGCCACAATGCCAGTCTTTTTTTTGTTTGGAGACAGAGCCTCAAGCTGTCCCCCTGGGTAGAGTGCTGTGGCATCACAGCTCACAGCAACCTCTGGCCCCTGGGCTCAAGCGAGTCTCCTGCCTCTGCCTCCCAAGTAGCTGGGACTACAGGCGCCTGCCACAACGCCTGGCTATTTTTTTGTTGCAGCCATCATTGTTGTTTGGCGGGCCTGGGCTAGATTCGAACCTGCCACCTTAGGTGTATGTAGCTGGCACTTAGCTGCTTGAGCCATAGGCGCTGAGCCGTAACATTTATTTCTAATAAATATAAAGCCAAATTGTGCATCATTGTCACCACATTTTCTTTTCTTAACATTGAATTTTATACTGCACAGATAACTAACATCCTAATATAAATTTTTATAAATATATTAAGGTATTTTGGGTTTACCAAATGAATAATACAACAAATACCAATGTAACTACTATCCAGTTTGGGAAATAAATGTATCTACAGTATGAAAATATATAAGAAAGCTGACCCGATGATTGCAGCTTATCACATCAGTGTTTCTTATGCTTTATTATCTTTAATCAGTTATCCATTATATGTATAAAGTGACAGTACATGACTAATTATAAAACTAATTAAAGCCACCATAGGAGCTTGCAGTGTTTACGTGAGTCATAAGCTTGCTAGCTCATCTGTCACTAATAGCTTTGCATACTCTAAGAGGTCCTCAAACGCTATTATTTTCTTACACATATTTAAGTAATCATTTTATTTATTAATACTTGAATTTGGATTTGAACCTTCCCGACTCTGAACAGAGTAAAACGCCTGGCACACCTTTGAATCACAATGATTTTGTGAAGAGGCTGGTGGGAAACCCAGATCCAGAACCCGACAAGTGAGAAGAGGTGGGTGGCGGAGAAGGGGATGGGGACCCTGAAAACACAGAACAGGTGTGTGATGCACAAAGGTCACACCGCTACCCCTGCTTTGGAACTGTCCACCCTGGAGACAGTTGAGATTCTGGGCCTCCTGTCCTACAGCGCCTTCAGGGCCCAGAGCAGAGACCCAAACATCTCCGCATGCACCGAGCAAGGCTGGGCGACAGTGTGTAATGATTCTGTAAATGAGGATGACGTGTCCACAGCTACCTACGAAGCATATCACCTGAAGCTCTCGATCTCTTTGGTATCACCTGGCCACAGAGCCAAAATTTCTACCTAAAAGACCCAAAGGGCCATACCACAGAATTGAAATCCTGGGGGAAATTTGTTCTTGAAATCGGGGAAGGTGTTTCTCTTGGAAACACCTATTTCTTTTTAGCTTAGGACCCTGTTAATTATGAAGCTGTGTCTGTAGTTTCTCTTTCAAACTGTTCCTTAGAAAGCAGAGAGCAAAATTTGGTTCTATCGTGTCAAGGAGTTCACAGAATCCATTCAGCCCCCTAAACTCCTTCTTCCCTCCATCTTTCCTACCCTATATTCCCCAGGTCTCCTTTTTGCCTCCACTGATTGTTTGTGCGATGCATTCTATATTATCTCTTATTCTGAAAGCCCTTTTGGAACAAGGTAGGGTATAAACAGATGCCAGCTTATAAACGTGACAAGAGTTTAGAGGTCACCCAGTTCTTTCCTCCATATTCTGCAAATGAGAAATGTGATGCTCCACCATCCCAAAGAGTTGAAACTGGTTTGAAGAAGAGCTAGAATTTAGGGACCCCAAATATGGCTTACTAATTTACCCTCAGTAGCTGGCTGCCTCCTACAACACTACATCTCTGATCTCTCCTCTTCTTAAGACAGCACTGCCCAAAGGGATGTTCATAGACACTTCTCCCCAACTGAGAGAACAGAAAAGTTACACAATTCTATCTTCTACATCTTGGAGAGTCACAAGAAAATTCTGAGTAATCCTGAAATAAGTAAACGAATTTAATTCAGACTAACCCATGTCTCCCAAATGTATGTGATCGTAAACCTTTTTTCTTTTGAGAGCACAGTGGCGAGCTTCACCCATTAGCAGTCCTCAGGGCATACTCTGGGAGGTGCCAGGGTAAGACAAGGCCTCCAGAAGCAAAGCTCCAAATCCCCACAGCAGGTAGGAGAGAGTAACAGGCAAATGGTCGCCCCACTGACACATCAGCCTCGATAGTGGCTGATCCCCATGGTGGTAGGTTGTGTTGCTCTGCTGAGCCCAGGGCCAAAGAATGTCAAAGGTACAGGACCCACTAGTGAAAGAGGTGTCAGGGAAGAGGCCTTCCTCCCTGTGCTGCGTGGGTGACCCTCTGCAGGCACGCTGCAGGAGCAAGGAGAACGGCTCCCCTGGCCACCACAGATGAAGGGCCCGCAGTCCTGTGCACCACGCAGCAATAGCTTGCACTCACTGTGCGTTCTAGAAGGACAGCAATTACAAGCTCTTCTTCCACTGAAGTAAACATCGTCAGTCAGAGGGGGAGAGGTCCAAACATGACAATGTAACACGCCGTGTGTACCTCTGTGTGGTGGCACATGTGTTCACAGACCACAGAAGGATGTGACAGTTAAGCAAGCTCTGGTATGGTCCAGGACGCACTTGTGTTGGGTGTACAGGGCTCTAATGGACAGGCGCTGGTGCAGACGGCTGGATGCCAACATCGCCTCCACCTTCACGTGGCAAGTTACTTACCCTCAGTGAACTCCAGTTTCTTCTTCAGGAAAATGGGAATGGTAACATGAGGAGGAGGATAGTCAGGAGGATTAAAGTTTAGTATTTGCAATGTGCTTGCCTCAGAGTCGGTACTATGTAATTGTTAAATAAAACAGTGTCCTTAAGTGTTTACTCCCATTTCCCCTGGCTGATGAACAATTCCTTTCATAAGGGACAGTAACACACAGAGTTGGTGAAAATAAGGCGCTCACCCACCTGACTTTAAGACAGCCTGATCCGTGACAGGGATTCACACAGGGCCAATGCACAGGCTGACGGAGCAGCCTGCGGCTCCCACCGCTTTCCTGCGAGCTGGGATCACATGTTGGGGAGAGCCGGCTATCGGAGGCACGTCCTAAGGTTCAGGCCTCCAGTACAGTGGTGACTGGGGATTCTGGCAGAACAAGAACAAGCAGGCCAAACAGGAGGTGTGGCTGCGGAGTCAGGCTGGGCCCGCAATTACCCTGCGGGAACCCTCTCGCATTCTCCCCAGATAAGGTGGTGTCTTCCAGGGCCCCCAGCTCTGCTGCCACAGGCAGTGCCTCCAGCTCCCGGTGGGGACAGGAGAGATGCTGCCTCTGCCTGGGCCTCACCTTCCTCAGTAACCCTTGACTCAGTTATGAAAAACAATCAAATGAAAACTATTTTACAAATAAACCCCAAAAATGTACTATATAGACAGAAGATATAAAGGGAAAGAGTTTGGAAAAACTTTATTAACTCTTCTTGGTTTCTTTTCTATGTACTTGAAAATACTGTCGTCTGAATATATTTCTATATGTTTTTGAAAAGATAGACAAATATCAGGGGAGGAGGAAGTAGTAAAAAAGATATACAAACATATCTTTCAAAAGGTGACTGAACAAATACATTTTAAAAGATGAAAAGTTTAAAAACAAAGCAGATGGTATGTGTTTTGTTATATGACACTAATCTTTCCATAGGTTGCATAAAGAGCCGAGAGGGAGGCTTGGTGCCTGTGGCTTAAGTGGCTAAGGCACCAGCCACATACACCTGAGCTGGTGGGTTTGAATCCAGCCTGGCCCGCCAAACAATGATGGCTGCAACCAAAAAATAGCCTGGCGTTGTGGCGGGTGCCTGTAGTCCCAGCTACGTGGGAGGCAGAGGCAGAAGAATTGCTTGAGCCCAGGAGTTGGAGGTTGCTGTGAGCTGTGATGCCACTGCACTCTACCCAGGGCGACAGCTTGAGGCTCTGTCTCAAATTAAAAAAAAAAAAAAGAGCCTAGAGGGATTTGCAATAATCCACTGACCTACTGTATACAAACACCATCACAACTATAATTTTAGAAATTTCATAATTTATATTATGTAGTTTTGTAAAAATATCCAGAGAACTGTTCTTACAAGTTATGAGCCAAATTTGGGGAGTAATGATAAATCTCTGAGCCTAAGGATGAGGGGCCCTTAAACTTGGAGTTGGCAGTGCCCTTGGACACCTGTGTCTCTCCTGATCACCAGCTCATGTGCTCGGTGTGCAAACATAGCAGCCTGGCAATATCATTTTCTGCTCTAGTAAGGAACACACGTATACATATTCATTCACACGAAGTCCCCAGACACGTGGGGCTATCGGAGACCATCGGATTGCACAGTCCCTATGTTCAGGGAGAGGTAGGAACACACAAATCTTAAGAAACAGAGACAAAGGGACTTAGTCACGGACATTTCAATTTTCAATCTAGGGTTTGCACGTTGCTTTGAACGTTTGCTTTAGTACTTGTTGTCTTTAAACGATGTCTAAATATTCTGAACATGTGGGACATGGTCCCCTCTCGCATTCTCCCCAGCAGTGTACCTCTCACCTCAAAGCACATCTCTGAGTCTATCTTTTCAATCTTATCTTCGGCAACACACGCTTGCTTCTGTGAATCACCAGATGACCCTCCTAGGTTAATTTTCATTTGTACTGACATGAGTGCTAATGAGCAAGCAACAATATCAAAGCAGGTCCTGTGTGCTCACCAAGGATTTCTAAACTTCCATGATTTTAATTCTTACTACTCCCGTACTAGATATAAATGCTGCTCTCTTAAAGACTTTCTTTTCATGCAATACATGCCTAATGCAATGTGAAGAAAACTATCACTAAAAGGAAAACTACTTTCCCAAATTACGACCTGCATCTATGATAATGAGGTGCTACTAAAATATACTTTTAAAAAATCTCCACGCTGATCTACGCGTATTGCTTAAAAATTCGCAATGTCCCACTGCTCTGCGATTTTCCCATTCTGTATGCACAGCACAGATTCCTGCCAAGCCTATTACAGTGAACAAACAATGTCCTCTCTGTCAGAACTGAGAATGAATAGTATCACAAAATTCTCCCCTAATGTACAGCCACATCCCCCCACCCAACCCCTTCAGAAGAGAATAACTGGGACAGGAACGAGGAGGAAAACACACATGACTCTCTTCTTGCCACTCTGAAATTGCCTTCTAGAAGTGACAGGCGGGGTAGCCTCAACTACAGAATATTACCCCACAGGCCAAGTTGACTAGTGTATTTTCTTTGAAATTGGATCATATATTTTTGCATGTCTTTGTGTGTGGGTGCACACATGTCTTGAGAAGGGAGGAAGAGGGTACTTCATCAGATAAAATGAAACAGCTTTTAGCTACCAACTGAGCTGCAATGGGAAAACTTCATAGAAATGACACAGCAATTTGTGTTAAAATATTGGCAGCTAATTCACGAATGCCAAAGCTGACTGGGAACTTAGCTGCTTCTGGGAAGCCTTTATTCCCGCGAAGCTCATGATTCATGAAGAAAGCACCTAGTGCTACTCCTCAGAAATGTATAGCCTGACACCAGTGATTCCTCTTTGCCTGTTCTCTCTCTCTCTTTCACTGACACACATGCACACACCTCTCCCGTCCCCTCAAAAGGCACTAAGGATATGATTTTACAAAACAAGAACTTATGAAGCATTTCTCACCAACCAACAAAAGGCTTACTCTGTAGGCGTTTTCATAGAACGCAGACTTCCTTAAAATCTCCCCTATTTCCAAGTCTGAGTTGGTATAAAATATTGTAATTCAGGCTTTCCCTTCTTGTGACATGAATAGAGCATATAGCTTATTTTAACCTCTCAAGGAAACTACCCATTTTTCCCCCCTCGTAAAGGACAAAAATGCTATTTTTATAGTCAAACCACACTGGCTTTTGTTTACATGACTCTCTGTAACGTGAAGAAAGAAAGTGCAGCTTCCCCTTTGGTCCCCTTTGCCCACACATTTCCAGCACAGCTCAGTGAGCTCCCAGATGCTGATGGTGCGCTCCTGGGAACACATTTACAGGGGTCTGCAGGATACCCCGATAGCTCTGCTTTCTTCCCTCTCTCCCCCTCCTATCACTCTGGGCCTGTATTAAGACTAAACAATTAAACCTTTCTGCTGTACCACTGGAATTCAAAAATTCTAATGCTGTGCCCCCTTATTAGTACAATGGTCATATTTACCCTGGAGAAATGTTTGTCCAAAAAGTATCCCCAGTTCTGGCAGTGTGGTCCCTTTGAAATGTGGTGGAGAGAGTTCTCTCTTCTTTCTTGGCCTAGAACCAAAGAGAAAGAAAGTTAGAAAAAAAGACAGACAGATATAGACTGTTAGAGAGATGGAGCCAGTTCGCTGTAAAATTCCAGCATATTTATGTCAAACATTGAGCTTTCTGTGTCTCCCTGCACAAAGCAAATTATAAAGTCGAGGCAAAACTGCAAATAGGAGGGAATAAAAAATGTTTGTTAATCAAATACAAATCAACGTACGTGCTCTTCCGTATTTTTCCCACTTTATGCCAAATAAATATGTGTGTTATTTTAGTGATAGTAAAATTCAAATAACTTATTCTAAATTTGAAAAAAAAACAGTAATTTGTTTGAAACAAGCATTGATGCTTTTTGGTAACATAAATTGTGGTTCAGTTCTGAAAGTTTCTTGTTGAAAGGAGACTTTGGTGCGGGGTGAACAGTGTGACCTGAATGACACACAGATTTAATCCTAGGTCATCACTTCTCGCATTCTGCTGTTGAAATGGGGAAAATGCACAGAAATGGGGAGACTAGAGGGATGTCCTCCCCTGTCCCTCGCGATCTGTCAGCTCACTGCTCCTGTCTGCAGTTCTGCTCTGCTTTTAGTACCCAGTCCTTCCTCCACCCCCCTCTAGTTTCCTCTCTAGTTCTCTTCCCAGCCCCAGATAAGTGTCTCCTGTACTGAACATTTCCTTTAGGTAAGACACCATGACAGGGGAAGCCTGAAAGGGTGGAGGGGAGAGGGTTGGAGCAAATAAATGAATGACCGTATTTACATCGGAAGGAGAATCCTGGCTGTTGACTAAGATTCAGAACCTCTCAATTACTTCAAATGATTGAAGCCCAACTCCTGATTTTCAGTAAAATAAACTGGGTAGAACATGAGCCTTGTGGATTTGATGTTCTTTTGTTAGGAGCACATCTTATCATAAATCCTAGACTGTGTGTTGCTTTCTTCCACAGTAGAAGCAACAGAATTTATATTATCTTGAGGAATATCTATTGTTCCTCTGACAGTTATCAAGTGAGAAACTGCGGCCTTTTGTTTGCCACTGCATTCAGCTACGTTATTTTGTTTTAATATGTCTATAAAGATCAGAACAAGACACTCAATTGTGGGCTGTCTTCCTTTAACCTGACTCCAGTTCTTTCCACTGTCAATCACGCAAACTGGGAGGAGAGGGCTTTGCTGGGTTCAGGGTTTGACAGACAACTGAGTTCCTGAGCCAGCATTCCACTCCTTCATTAGCTTTTAAATCAAACCTCCTCAAACCTCCTTCTGAACCCCTGCCATGCAGATATATTTAGATGTGGATTCCCATTGTAAATCTCTCCTCTTCTCCATGTCATCATGGTTGATCCCAAAGAACTCTCCTGAATTAGTTAGCGATACCAGCAAAATTTGATTATCTATATCAAATTGCTGCAGGAAAAAAAATAATGAAAAGGACAAACATTTTTCTAAAAATGCCAAATCCTATTAATGTATACTAAAAATAATATGCTTGGATGTCCTCTAAATACGACTAACGAACCTGATTTGAAAAGTGAGTACATGATTTGATAGTTAATTTAACAATGTATTAGTGGTATACAGTTTTATATTTTCAGAACATACATTTCATGAATTAAAAATATTCCAAGGAAACAAAGTAATCAAGATAGTTTGGTACTGTCATAAGAACAGACAGATAGTTCAACAGAATAATCTTTAGTGTCCACAAATAGATCCATATATTTTTATTCCTTCAATTATATGGTCAACTGATGTTTTTGACAAGGATGCCAAGACTAGACAATGGGGAAAGAATAGTTTTTTTTCAACGAATGGTTCTAGGACAACTAGATAGCTGTGTACAAAAGATGAAGTTGGATCCTTAACACAGATAATATAAAAAAAGTTATCTGAAATGGATCATCACCTAAATATAAGAGCTAAAACTACAAAACTCTTATAAGAAAACACAGAACTAGTTCTTTGTGAGCTTAGATTTGGCAGCGGCACTTTAGATATGACACCACAGTGAACAAAAGAAAAAATGGATAAACTGAACTTCATCAAATAAAATGTCTGCCCTTTCAAGGATACTAGCAAGAGAGTCAGAAGGCAACTCAAAGAATGGGGAAACAGGTGTGCAAATCATATCCACTAAGGCACTCACTCAATCTAGAATATATAATATAAAGGTCCAAAACCCAGCCTAAAACAGGCAAAGGATGTGAATATACATTTCTCACAAAAAGAAATGTAAATGGCCAATAAGCACTTGACAAGATGCTCAACGTCATTAGTGATCAAGGGAGTGCAAATTAAGCCCAATGAGATGCCACTTCATACCCACTAGGATGGCTACAGCAAAAATGTCTAAGATACTAACAGGTGTTAACAAGGATGTACAGAATTCAGAACTCTCATACCCTGCTGATGGGAGTACAAAATAATGCAGCCACATTGTAACAGCCTGGCACTTCCTCAAAATGTTCAACATAGGGTTAGTTACCAGTTAACCTAGTAATTCTACTCCTAAAAATGTATCAAGAGTAATGAAAACTTATGTTCACACAAAAACTTGTAAATAGATGTCCACAGAAGCATTATTCATAAAAGACAAAGATGTCCCTCCACTAGTGAATGGACAAACAAAATATGGTATATCCACACAAAAGAATATTTTTCAACAATAAAACAGAGTGAAGTGCTAATACACATTACAACATGTATGAACCTTCAAAACATGCTAAATGAAAGAAGCCAGTCACAAAACCCCACATATTTATTTTATGGTCCCTTTTATAAGAAATGCCCAAAATGGGCAAATATAGAGAGACAGTAAGTAGATTTGTGGTTGCTTGGGGTTGGGCAAAAAAAGGTGATGAAAATATTCTAAAAAAGCTGACCTTCCTTTTGATCCTGCAATCCCATTACTAGGTATCTACCCAGAAGAACAAAAATGATTTTACTACAAAGACATCTGCACCAGAATGTTTATTGCAGCGCAATTCATAATTGCCAAGTCGTGGAAGCAACTCAAATGTCCATCAACCCATGAATGGATTAACAAATTGTGGTATATGTATATCATGGAATACCATTTAGTCATAAAAAGATGGGGACTTTACATCTTTTATGTTTATCTGGATGGAGATGGAACACATTCTTCTTAGTAAAGTATCTCAAGAATGGAAAAATAGTATCCAATGTGCTCCATACTATTATGAAACCAATGTATAAACACAAACATGTACTCACAGGCATGATAAAACACAAATAGAGTCTAACAAGGTGCAGGGGTGAGGAGGGAGAGGGGAGGGAAAGGGAGAAGGGCAACTGGTGAAGGAAGGAGGGCATCAGGTAGGATCTCACCTAATAAGCATAATGCAAGGGTATATTTCAAAATAACTAAGAGTAAATTTTAAATGTCTTACCACAAAAAATAAGTAAGTAAGGTGATGGCTATATTAAACAGTTTGATTTAAGTATTCCATGTTGCATATCAAATCATCACATTGTACCCCATAAATGTATATAGTTATAATTTTAATTAAAAATTAATAAAAAATTTAAAAGTCATGAAATTATATACATTAAGTGCGTAAACTATATAGTATGTGAATTGTACCTTTTTTGCATTTTTTTTATTAAATCACAGCTGTGTACATTAATGCAATCATGGGGTACAGTGTGGTATTTTCATCAAAGTGGTTAACATAGCCTTCATGTCATTTTCTTAGTTATTGTGTTAAGATGTTTATATTCTACTTTAAGAAAGATTCACTTGTAGCCTTGTAAGATAAACCCTAAATAAATCTCTTAAAAACTATTCCAAGGAAAGAAATGTGGGATATACATATCACAAACATAAAATTATAATATCATTCTTCAAATCAATCTTAAAGAAATATGGCAAACCCAAGTGCAATTTTAGCCAAAATCAGTAGAGTTGCTGCACTAAACAGATCAGCTCCATTGCAAACTATCACATCTCAGCTGAAGCAACTAGCCTCTAATTCTGCACAGACCAAATGCTCCTTCGGTTCCCCTTTTGTCTTCTTATCTCTAAGTGTGGGCAGCAGTGAATCGCTGCAAATGATTATTGACCCAATTAAACAGAAACCTTGTGTTGTGAATATAGATTTCTTTTTCTACTGAATGGAAGTTTAGGACTTCTCAAACCGGCAATCTAGGCAAATGTGACCACTCTCGCATAGACTAAGTCAGTGGAGTCCCAAGCTCAGCCCTGTTTCCTCTACACCAATGTTGCTGACGGCTGCCGTGCAGAGTGACTGCAGGCTCCTAACGCTGAAGATGACATTCATAAGAAGGTTTCCTCTACACCAATGTTGCTGACGGCTGCCGTGCAGAGTGACTGCAGGCTCCTAACGCTGATGATGACATTCATAAGAAGGTCCAAACAGGTAAACCCCCTGAGTTTACAACGTGCATTGGCAAACTAACCTGAAGGCTTGTTTCAGCTAAAGTTGTTCAGGGGAACTGAAATGGATTCAATTTCTGAGATGCCGGGACCCTGAGGGATAAGATACACACCTGACAGATGGCCTGGGCTGAGCCCCCACCAGCACTGCAGAGGAGGGGTCCAAGGAGAGGGAGTGTTTTCTCAAGGCTCTGCCCTAACAGTCTCTTCTGGGGAAGTGCTGGTGGTGGCCAGAGTATACCTTTCTCCTGCTGTATGAGTAGATAAATACAGATATTTGGGAGCACAGTCTTGAGCAAACTATTTCAAATTCATGTTTGACTTCTAAAAACTATACCTGGAGGCAAGCTATCTACTCAGCAGGAGACTAGAATCACAAAGCTCAATTACAGATTCTCCAATGTAAAAGAAACTGAAGAGATCATCCATAAATCAAGCCTACTTGATACCTGAATCCTCTGCTATAATGTCTATGATATCCAGTCTATAGCTGCAATGTCAAAATGACTTGATTAAATGGAACAGTTCAAATTACTGTGCGCAGAATGCATCACAGTGCCTGGACAGAACACAGTAATCACTCGATATTTATT